GTTAGGTATATTGGAATAATCTAAAACTCTCTTAGGGTCTCTTTTTTTAAATGCTAATAAGTGCTATACTACAAATATTGTTATTGGTATTGTTAAGCCTTTTTTTTTTTTTTAGAAGACAAGAAAGATGGCCTGAAATTAAGCTGGATTCTTGGTGACTGTATGAAATGCAGCCATTCAGCTTTCTTGGGAATAGTATAGAAGTTTTTGCTGTAGTTTTCTTTCAGGATGTTTTTGGATTTCCCAGTCCAGCCTACAAACCTGTGATTCTCTAGTAGTTTCCTCCCTCAGCAGGTTTAGTCCTACTTAATTTACAAGCTCAGATTCTTCCAGCAACATAAACTTTTCAGTTTTAAATATGAAATGGCTTGCTTAAGATCAGCCTACTTTTGCCTTCTAGAAAGTCAGGGATATTCCTTACTTCATGCTGGTGTTTCCATAAAGACTACTAGAACTTTGTCATTCTTTGTCATTCTTGTCTTTTGAGTTACTGTTTGGTGTTCTGGGAACATAAACAATTGAGTAGAATATGAGTTACATGTTGGAATTCTCTGGGATGATTGATTAGAAAACACAACTTTTTCCTCATCTCCTCCTCCGTATTTCATAGCTGATCAACAGCCATGAAACAGTACATTTCAACAGTAAAGTTGTAATGAAGAAGGGAAAAGCACTCCCTGGGATTTAAATAAGGAAGAGTTAATAAAGCAGCCAATCTAGTATAGTGTTTCTTAACCCCTTGGCAAGTTTAGGATGGGTGAACTTCAATCTCAGAATTCTGAGAGTTGAAGTCTCTCCATCTTAAACTTGCCAAGGTCAAGAAACATCGACCTCCTAGACCAGGGGTAGTCAACCTTGGCTCTTTTATGACTCGTGGACTTCAACTCCCAGAATTCCTGAGCCAGGCTCAGGAATTCTGGGAGTTGAAGTCCACGAGTCATAAAAGAGCCAAGGTTGACTACCCCTGTCCTAGACTGTGGTCAGAATCCATCAAAACCCAGGAAACCCAAACTCTAAGCAATCAACCAAGAACAAGCCCATTCCTCCCCCCCCCTCAGATTAGCTTCTGAAAAGGCAGGAGGCCAACTCCATATAGCCCTACTTTTTTCATCTGTCATGCAAAAGCCCCATTTGTCGGTCATAGCAAAATCATACAGTATAACTGCCCTGGCATATGAAAGCAATATCTTTGTTCTTTAAATATTTAAAAAGTTAGACCCAAAGACTGATGTGATGATATTATTCTTTGGATGACAACAAAATCTTGCCTTTTAATAATAACAGTTGTCTCAGTTTGTTTATTTAAAGTATCTGCTACTAATAACACAGGTGTTGTCAAACTGCTACAATAATATACAAAATATACTTGAGTACCTAATCCACTATTCAGAAGTAATTGAATCTACAAAGAGCATCTCTCTGATTTATTTTACTCGTTTTCTCCAAAACTTAATAGTTCCTGTTTGTGTAATCAAACTTCTACTACATGTTATCAGTAGATTCACAAAATTCTGATTTGTTTGTTTGGTTCAACATTTTATTGCATTTTCAATATTTCTGATGCTGCTTGTTTTCAGAAAGCTACAGTTCTCTGACTAGTTGTAGATCTTTCCTATTGCTGTGGTAAAACACATTGTCACTAATATGCCCACTGGAGGACTTTTGCACTTTCCCCTTACTTGACCAAGTTTTCAGAAATAATATTCTTTAACTCCCAAATGTGTTAATGTATTTGCCGTCATACAATATTATTTTGGTTTGTCTCTTGTTCTCAATTTTTCGGTACATTTTTTTCAATTATTAGAGGATGTAGCAAAACCTCTATCTCAAGTAGTTTTGACTTTAAATGTCTGTGAAAGGTTGGGCTGTGAAAGATTTGCCAAAAGACTAATCTGATTTAACTTTTACTTTTTAAACATCCTTTTAACAACATTACCCTTTTTAATATGCCACTTGGGTATAATAAGATTTGAAGTAGTAAGTAAAATACCCCCTTTTTTGGATATTACTACAGTTATTTTTTTTACTAAACTTAAGTATACTTCCAATCTAGCAGCAATAACATCAGCCAAAATAGAAATTGTTTTATCAACATTATAATATCTCAGAATTAGCAATTTAGTTAAATATTTAAGCTCTGCAAATGCCTTATCTTATATATCTAACCACTGAAACTTCACTTCTTGCAATAACAGTTATAAAACTGGTCATATTTGCTATGAATTTGAATAAACGTGTAGTCATCTAAAAATGTCTTGTTCTGTGGACGATGCATTCCAACAAAAGCTTCAGTTTTACTTTTATCAAATTTTATATTATGGGCAGTAAAAATAAAGTCCAGATTTATTCTGTTGTTTTAAATTTGCTACATTTAATTTCAGATTTATTTCTGTAAATTTGTTCAGAACTGGTTTCATTTTTTTTTATCATGCTCTATAATGATCTCAGTTTTTTTTAAATTTTGCTGTATTATTCTCTGATAAACTTCAAAAACTGATTTGCTTATACTTTACTATCCTTTTTCCACAAACAAAATTGTATTAATAACTTTTCAAAAAAACACTCCAGGATTGATTTTTTTTCTTCCTCCTGATGAAACTACATGAAAAATGTATGCATTCCATAAATAACCTCCTTTTTTTGGTCCATCATGCTTCAAATATAAGAATCAAAATTTGCAACCTTTGTTTACCCAATTCCTTGTCAAACTGGAAACGCTCAGTGGGTTTTTCCCCAGCAAGACATAGAAATGTTTGAACTTTTCAGTCTTCTTATCTCTATTAACTTCACCACACAAATCTTTGCTTTCATGTTTTCCAGTTTTCTGCAACATTATCTTCAAACACCAACTTACCTGGAGCCTTCAGCCAATCCAACCAGTGCAGTCAACCCCAACCATTTCTGTCTTCATATTATGTTTGTTCTTTAGACAAGCATTTAAAAAGCCAGGTCTGGGTAATATGAAAAGATTTCTTTAAACTGGCAGCAACAACTTATTTAATAACATAGCCATCTTTATTCACGCTATGAGAATTCTGCTGTTAGTGACACGTGCCATCAATTTGCTAAAATAATTTACACATTATGCTTAATATTCAAAAGTAAACCAGTCATTATTGGGGGGGGGAGTGTTTGCTTCATGTAAGCACTTTGAAGAGGTTGGTCAAGGCAAGGCATCCCTAATATGTAGGTTTCAGCTTTGAGTGAATTGATTTAATAAAATTCAAGTGTATAAGGCACTTTTATCTATTTAATTGGTTTTTACGATAGTACTGTACTAATCCAAGAAGATCAGTTAGTGCATTTATTTCACATAAATTGTTGGCTATCTGCAAATGTATTTATGCCCAGTGCTAAAGAGGAAACAAAGGTGTTTTTCAGTTTAACTGTCTGCTCTCACTTCTGGATTCTTTTAAACAAATCATTGGCTGCTCCAATATATAAAATGGAAAATAGAAGTGTGTAGTATTTAATGGGCCTAGACTCTAGAGATTTATGCTATATTGTTTCCCTTTCAAATATTTAAGGATTGTATATTTAAAAAGATTCATACAAAATAAAAATCTACCCAAATTACTGATATATAATAATGGAAAACAAATTGTATGTATTCATATCCTACCTAGTATTTAAATCAATACTAACAGCTAGGACCATAAAAAGCTTGCTCCAGTACATGGTAGAATAGGTACATAATGGGTGTTCTTCCTAATACTTTAAGATTAATTCAAACAATGAATCACAGCAATGTTTAGAATGATGAATATCATCTTCCCAAATCATTAAAATATTACTTCTATATGAGAATTGGAAATACTGTCTCTTTCAATATTTTAAATAATTTACATATTTGTATATGTAATACGATTATATATCTCGATCACATCTGAAGCTATAAAATTAGGTGTATTAACATTACAAGATCAATTTTCAAAGAATAATTCCCTTTGAACATCTTCTAGCTTAACTGTTGAAGCATCAGAAGTATGTCATATAAGAGTTAGAGTTGAAGATGGAGAAAGATACATTGTACTGTATTTAAAAATGGGAAGCAAATTCATTTACAGGTAGTCCTTGAACTTACAACCGTAATTGAAAAGGGTATTTTAGTCATTAAGTGATGTAGTTGTTAAACAGGTCAACATGTAGACCAGACCTGATTTGATTATCATTTTTACCATGGTTATTAAGTGAATGACCTGGTTAAGTGAATCCAGGCTTAAGATAATACAATTGACTTTGCTTGTCTGAGGCTGGGAAGATTGCAAATTGCAATCATGTGATTGCTTGAGGTTGCACCCATTGTAAATGCAAGCCAACTGCCAAATGCCCAAATTGCAATCACGTGACCAACGGTTCTAAGCTTGAGAATGGGTCATAAATCACTTTTCCAGGTTCACTGTGACTTTAAGCGAACATTATATGAAATATCATTAGTCTTTTCCAGATAATATTCTTATTGTCACAGTCCAGAAACGGTGTTGGTCTGGATAAGAATGTGCTGAAAAAAATTTAGATCTACCTATATGGGAAAAGTATTGCTTAAATTAGCAAGTGCTAAGTTGAAAACAGCTCAGAAAAAGAAAGCATACAGTCATCACTTCAATTAAAATAATATAAAACAAAATCTCACAATTATACTGAAATCATGCAGCAATATAGAAGTGTCTGTTGTCTGATGGAAATCGTACAAGATTTCTTGTAATATTGTTGATCCTCAAGAATGAAGTATTTGCTAATTCTTTATTCTTCTAGTAGTACAAAGCATTTTCTTTGGATACTAAGGTCCTGAATTAATCCCTGGCATCTCCAGTTAAAAGTACTTTTCAGAGTCCTCTATTCCAGTTCATGTATAACCGCTTTCAGTAAGGATGCTCAGATGAATTAGATGCACATCATTTTCATTTGGTGGAAAAGCAGTGCATGTAATTGTGCCGGAGTTCTTTGACATCCTGTGTTTTCATTTAAATAAATTGCTGACTTCTCTCTGTGTCTTCTAGAAATTCCGGGTCGATATGCCAGGATCGAGCAACACATTTATTCCTACTCTCAACGCGATAACCACCAGCCAAGACCTACAGTGGATGGTTCAGCCCACTGTGATAACCTCCATGCCAAGTGCCTACTCTCGCTCGCATCCCTACAGCCATGCATTGCCCAATCTGTCTTCAATTACTGGACACACAGCCCTACAAAGGCCTGGTGTTATTAAAACCATTGGGACCACCGTGGGCAGGAGGAGAAGAGATGAGCAGGTAGCTCCACTATTTAAAATAACTAGCGGAATGGACTTGATATTGAATGCAACGTTTCTAAGTCTGTGCTTCAAATGTTTGTGGCAACTGACAATAGATTTATGGATTACCTGAATCTAGCTTGAAGGAATACTAACTTCAGTATAAGAAAGTCTCTGCAAACCATAGCTTACTAGCTTACATTTTGGTGTAAGATCTTCAATTGGTCCCAGGATTTTCCAGTGAAGGAATCTTGAATAACAAAGCTGGGAAGATTTATAGAGTTAAGGTAGAAAGTTGACACCAATCAGGACTGACAGCTTTCAGCAAGCTAAATTATTAGCCCAATCTGATGTGATACCTCTTGCTTAAGTTTTCATTTGCGTTAATATTTTAATAGTGTCTCCTTCAGTGATAGTTTCACTGGAATGTATGGATTCCAAAAGCATTGGAAAGGTTCACTATCTCGTTTTCATTGCAACTAAATTATTGGTTGTAACTCTCGTGTAAGAGGCTTAAGATAATACAAAATGCCATTCTTTGTTGTCTGGTGGACCATCTATGCAGTAGCTTCTCAAGTAAAGGGAATCCAAGAACCTCGTATTGCTGAATAATTATCAGGAATTCTGAACAAAATGTAAGCTTGAAAATCACTAAATGGATTACTAAAACGAGACTTATTGGTGCATGACAACATTCATCCAATATTGTTAAAGGTTATTGGACTAATATTTAACTTTTTAAAAACTTTCTGCATTTGTAGATTTGCATAACTAAGAACTAAAAATCTAGGGAGATGGAAATATAATAGGAGGCTGCTAGTTAAGGCAGTAGCCCCGTATTTCTCTCTAATGGGTAGTTCCATCCTAAGAACCATAAGGACTGTTTCCCTGGAAATGCCCAAAGCATGCCAAGCAGTCCTTCCCACAGTAGCCAACTGTATTCCTCTGGATAATCCGTAAGTAGGCAAGAGGTAATAGCAATCTCCTGCTCTTCCTGAGCAGCTAATTTAGAGATAAATATATATGTGAACTTGAAGGTAACACATTACTCATTATACTATGGCATAATGTGGTTTCTATGCCTCTGGTTTAGTGTGTTGTGCAAACCCACCCATTATGGCATAAAGATATGTACAAAAACCAGGCCACAATGGCAAATTTAAACAATGTTTAAAATAAGGCCAGGCTTAGCATGATGGCTGACTGCTGTCCTAACTGTTACAGCTAGTCATTATCGAGAGACAATGTGCAGCGGTGAAACTAGACGCAAGGCAATCCATGTTATAGTCAACCCTTAGCCACAGAAACTTATATCCTATATCATAAACAGTCTGTTGTTGGGAAAATAGAAGAAAACACTGTATCACCTTCAGCTCTTGAATGAAAAGTAAGATAGACATCAAATAAATAAAAATGGCATTCTCCATTATTGATCTAGTCCCATTTTAAAGCCATTAAGGCTCAGAATTTGTGTGATTTTGATTTTTCAATTTACATAATTCTCAATATAGTTGACAACTATGAATGCTATGATTCAAAGAATCTGGAACCTGAGTAGATGGGTGCAGTGTCGCAAAGCTCTGCCTCTTTGATTGCAACACTGCATCCACCTTCACATTTTGATTCCCCCCCCCTCACCCCTGCTCATCTGCAGTGGATCTGGCTGGACCGTGGCTATTCAGGCATAAGGAGAAGGATCAGAGACTTAACAATGTAGCTGAAAGTAGGATAAAACCCAGTCCCTGGGCATGGGTGCCATTCAAGTATTTTGCACTGGAGTCATGTTTCTTATTTCCAGTTTGCTGTTAAGACTCAACCAAGATGTTTATAGAATTAAATGCTTGACTAGAATAAGAAAACTTTTGAGTGGCTAATTCCTGTTTCATTGTAACAGATAGTTAACTATAGTTAGGAAACTGAAGTGGTTTTGAGATAACTGTTATCTCTGCCACATATGCAGGTGGGAGGAGAGGGTAGAGAAGTTACTAGAAATCTGAGTTTATCTACAGTCCCCCCCAAAACATTAATTCTCCTCTCTAGGCTGTGTGTGGGCATAATGAAACACACTATACCCTCCAAGACATTTATCTCCTGTTGCTTAAGGGCTGCCTGATGATGTAGGGTCTTATCTTTAAAAGTCAGAGGTAGGAAAGGACTGAATGGCAGCTCTTTTGATTTGATTTGATTAGGGTCATTCCAGTTTGTCTAGCACCCTGGACCTTGGCTTCTGACCTTCCAGTTAATGACTGTTGTCCTAGGAGAAGAAGCACATAGATTTTTTCCGAAGAAAAACTTGCAACATCTTCCTATACTCTTACCTCACAAACCACCCACATTGCGAAACCACAGAGAGACTTCTATCTTTGCATTCAGCCTTAATTGCAGATTCATTGTTTTCTTGCCCAATCTTCCTGTGGTTTCTCAGTTCTTGTGCTCTCCCCCACCTTGCTATCACTTTTTCTTTCTCCTCAGTGGCTCCAGTGCTATATTATAGCAAAGCCCTGAGAGTATCTTGATGTGAGAAAGAATGTTTTCTCAGAGCCCCTAGATCCCTATGAGGGAGCCTCAGCTCTGACACCCAAAATTGCATTATTCAGCTAGTAAAATGATACACTTTTGAAGCAACTGTCTTATTTTCACCAGTCTTCAGGCCTTAATTGCTACCACTTTCCAGGTTAGTATAGTGTTTTAGGTTAAGAGGTTGGACAAAAATTGGGGAGACACAGGTTCAAGTTCATCTTGAGTCATGGAAGTTCACTGGGTGAACTTGGGCCAGTCACACATACTCAACTTAACTCACTTTACAAAGTGGTTGTTGTGGGGAAAAATGGAGGGAGGGAGGGTTATGGACACACTGCCTTGAGTTCCTGAAGGGAAAGGAGGATATAAATCAATTGAACAATAAATGAAAGGTAAAGAATAAACCATGGGTTCATCAGTTGAATCATATTTCTCATTGATTCATCCCTCAAACTACCAGCTTGAATTAATGTTTTATTCATTTGCTTATCTACAGTTATCACCTGAAGAAGAAGAGAAGCGAAGAATTAGAAGAGAAAGGAACAAACTAGCAGCAGCTAAATGCCGTAACAGGCGCCGAGAGCTGACTGAGAAACTCCAGGCAGTATGTATTTTGCACAAATCTCCTCTTTTCTTGTTATGTCCTTTGTTTTTTGTAAGATAAAATGAAATCTTGTTGAATTGAGCTCAACAGACGGTGACTTCATGGACAAAATGTAATCACTTTCTTGAAAACAATATTGATATAGTTTCCCATTGATGTCTTTTGTTTTTGAGTTTCCATTCTACCCTATAGTGTTGGGATTTCCCAATAGCCTCCTGGCCAAGTGCTAAACTAGGCCTTCCTCTGCCCATGAAGCCAGATAACTTTGTAAATAGGGCATATAATCTGATTTTGTGGCTACACGATACAACATGATCTAACATTTTATTGATTTTTGTTGGGTATCATGACATTTCTAAAACTCTAAAGGCTTGTGAACTGCTGCTGATATTGAGAGCTGCTCCTTGAGATTCTTGCCATAGTTGATTGATTTTTGGTACATGGTGGAAATTTTTGGGGAAAATAAAAAAATTATTCTAGACCTAAACAGTTCTTCAAAAGTTACATATCCAGTGCCTTTATTAGGGAATAGGGAAAGTGCTGGGAATTGGTTAACAAAAGGAGAATAGCAAAGTAATATAGCTGTATGAATAGTGATCTACCCACTTTTCCTCATTTTGCTTATACCAGATAATCATACAAGTATGGTGGAGTAAACACTTGTAGGTGTTAAAAAATCACCTAAGATACAAAAAAAAGCAAATGCCTATACAGTATTTCCTTCTGTTTTTCTTCATGACCAGCAAAAGAACTACAATTATCTCAAACCTGTTTTGCATACATATCTTTTTGGATATCATAATTTTGCTGAAAGAATGCATCTGTGCTCAGTTACAGGTAAATTGTGGTTGCACCTTTACTTGTAAGGTTAATGAGAGCATTAATCTTGCAATCATTCCAATGTTTACCTATTAAATTGATAAAAATTTATGAAAGCAGTCAGTAGGGGTACATGGACAACATCCAGTCCTTGATAGAGTCTTATGGTGACAAGTACTTTATCGTAAATAAAGCACATTTGGAGAAGGAATTTAAATTTTGAATATGAATATCAATTTAGTGAATTTTTGTCAGAAAAGATTTTGTGTTTCAAACCTGCTTTCAGATCTCTATTTATCCTTTAAATGGCCAGCCATCAGTCCTTAGGCAGTTAACAAAATCACTCAGAGGACCTAGTCCAGGGGTAGGCAACCTTGGCTCTTTTGTGACTCGTGGACTTCAACTCCCAGAATTCCTGAGCCAGCCATGCTGAGGAGAAAGGTAGAGGTTTCCATGCTGAGCCATGCTGGCTCAGGAATTCTGGGAGTTGAAGTCCACGAGTCATAAAAGAGCCAAGGTTGCCTACTCCTGACCTAGTCTATCCCCCTTAACTGTTGCCAGTATGTATTCTGTGACAGTTGCTAAAAGTGAAGTGAAGCCTATTTATCTTGAAACCCCTTCTTGGAATGCTAGTTGCTGTTGCTCCTATTCTTGCTGACCACCTCTTTATCTTGGATCTACAGGAAACCGAGGAGCTGGAGGAGGAGAAATCAGTGCTGCAAAAGGAGATTGCTGAACTAGAGAAAGAGAAGGAGAAGCTGAAATTCATGTTAATGGCTCACAGCCCCATGTGCAAGATCAGCCCTGAGGGCCATCGAACCCCTCCGCCTCATAACCTCCAGGCCCTGCGGACTGGAATGAGTGGTCCTGTGGTGGTGAAGCAAGAGCCTGTGGAGGAAGAGATCCCTTCTTCCTCTTCAGATCCTGAAAAAGGGCAGAGATCTGTCATTAAGCCCATCAGCATTGTTGGGGGGTTTTATGGAGAAGAACCACTCAACACACCCATTGTGGTGACTTCAACTCCTGCTGTCACCCCTGGAACATCCAACTTGGTCTTCACCTATCCCAGCGTGCTGGACCAGGAGTCACCCCTCTCCCCATCAGAATCCTGTTCCAAAGCTCACCGGAGGAGCAGCAGCAGTGGGGATCAGTCATCTGATTCCTTGAACTCTCCAACTCTGCTGGCGCTGTAACCCTTTAGCCACCACTCCACCCAGTTACTCTTGGGGGGGAAAGCCCCACCTCAAGATCAGAGACAGCACAATGGCATTCAAGCACAAGGCCAACAAGAGCCAGGAAAGGAAATGATGTTGCTCCAGATATTTCCTTAGACAGGAAGACTAGAACAAATGAAAGCTATATCAGTCTGGAGTTGGTAAGCGGCAGTCACAATCCCAGGACCCAATGGTGAGGGGTTTTCCCTCATTCACCAATTACTGCAGTGGATGTAACCATCCATAAAATTGCTAGACGTTTTTCCTGTTAGGCTGATGAATGGACTGTCTGACCTGGCTCCTTCTCCTGCGCTAAGTAGTACATTCCAGTTAGTTGATCTCATTTGGGCCTTAACATTTTCTTGATTTTTGTTGGATACCATGACATTTCGAAAACTCTAAAGGCTTACTGAACCACTGCTGATACTGAGAGCTGCCTCCTAAGAATTTTTGCCATATTGGGTGGCTTTTGGTACATGGTGGAAGTTTGGGGGGGAATAGGGAAATTTATTACAGGTCCAAATGGTTCTTCAAAAGTTACACATCCAGTGTCTTCATTAGGGAATGGGGAAAGTGATGGGAAACTGGTTAACAAAAAGAGAAGAGTCTCCTTGAAGACGATAGAGAACCGTGCACTGTTTGTGTCTACAAAGGCTGTATTTGCAACAGACCTTCGTCAGTGGGCCAGGAGTGGTGCCAAGAGGGCTGGGGAAATGCCAGAGTGGGTTTCCACTAAGCCTTTGTCTCTGGCATGATGTCTTCTGTAATTAGTGTTTGTCAAATTTGTTGCAGGACCCTATGTTTTCTTTCCTTTTGGCTGCCAGCCACTTTGGGTGTGATGCAGCTTCCTCTGAAGTATGCCTGAATCACATGCTGGTGCTGTTTCTCAAACAAAGATACCAGCTTCCAGGTTGTGGACTGTTGCCTTTGCCCAGTGCTGCCATTCTTCTTCTGGCTGATCAGGAAAGGGGATTAATTTGAGGAAGAATGTGCAAGATGCTCCCTTGGAGAAATTTTCCCCTTTGGTTAAATTTCGCTCATCAGGACCTGGCCAGGGTTATGTGTATTGCTTTCTGATGGTCTCAAGCCAAATTAGTCCTTTTTCTGGTCCTGGAGACAATTGAAGAAAAATGGATTCTGCACTTTGCCTCCTGCTGCACTTGGTTTCCAATTCTTAACTAAATATGGCTAATAAAAAAAAACACCCTGTGCTCACTACTGAAAAAAGGCAGCATGTTTCACTTATGTACATCCCCTGTAGTGCCAAGCATTAATGCAACTGTACTCAAAGAATATGCAGATTTTAGTAGGGATATCACAGATAAATTGGAGAGAGGTTTGTTAGATCGTCATCCGGAAGAAGACAGTTTTACTCTACAACTTATTCTTTACAAAACACCCGATATAGCTCAAGTTAATGACAAGCATATTCATGACTGGTTCTACTTTGATTTTCTTTTATGTGATCTGTGGGTGCGCTAGGCAAGGAAGCTGATGGATTTTTTTACCCCATTGTGCTCTTCAGAGATCAGCTTCTTGACTTTGGGCAGGATCTTCTTCAAGCCACGTTAACTCCTGCGGCAAGCATTTTCGCCTCTCTTCAAGCTTTGCCTTAACAGCTGGGAAACTGTAGTCTGGATTCAAAGTGTTTCCGTTGACATCAATGATCACTTTCCTGTTTATTTTTAATGCATCTGGATCACAGCCATAGTTAAGAATGTAATGCTAGGCTATTTGATCAGAGTTTCTAGCCAATGAAGTTTTTAGAATGATCTAGATTATGTTTTTTTCCCCTAATAAGAGAAGTCAGATTCAGTGACCTGAATGAATTCCAGGGAATTTGAGTACTGTAAAGGTAGTGTTTGATTCAAGTGGAGCTCAGTTCTTGGTGATTTTGTGGACATGCTTATGTCATTTTTGGGGGGGACAACGATGGTGGCTTGCCTTCTTCAAGGATATTTTTGGACTCCGCTCTAATCCCACAAGCTGGGATTCCCTAAAGGTCTCTGAAGTACTAACTAGATCAGTGATGGCGAACCTTTTAGAGACCGAGTGCCCAAAAACTGGCCCCACCCCCGCTCCACTCCCTGCCCCACCCCCGCTCCGCCCCCACTCCGCCTGCCCGCAGGGCCACTCACCGCCTCCAGGGCCCGCTGCAGATTGCCCAGCAGCGCCATGGCGGCCACGCCCTCTGCCTGCGCCCCGCAGCATCAACTGTGCGTGATGGGGCATGAGGGCAGAGTCTTGTCTACGCTGTCTGGCTGCCATGTCCTTAGCTGCACTGCTCTGCGTGGGCCACGCTCGGGGGTGACTCTCCTCCAGGGGGGCTACTGGTGGGTTGCGGGAGGAGGCAAGGCTGGGGCAATGGCACGTGTGCCCGCAGAGAGGGCTCCGAGTGCCGCCTCTGGCACCCGTGCCATAGGTTCGCCACCACTGAACTAGATCCAAAACAAACTCTGCTTAGCTTCTAAGCTCAGAAATAACTGATGAAGTTCCATTATCTTTTTTTGCCTATGCTGATCATAGGGGAAAAAAATCTAGATTATTTATGGCTATTGGTAGTACATCTAACCGCTAAACGTACCCTAGATATTACTTAACACTATCAAGTTTCTATTTACAGCAATAAAAGCCAAACATTTGCTTTATAGGGAAAAAGGGTGTGCAAACTGATTTTTCTAGCTGTTATCTCCTATGGCAGATTCTGTGTTTATTGAAATAATTTAAACCAGCCTTCCCAATTTATGCTCTATGTGCAACACCACAGTCTGAGCCAAAAGTCATGATTGGTGAACAAGAGTTTTTCTGTAAACACATTGAGCTGTATCATGTTGAGGAAGGCTGCTTTAAAGCCAGAATAAAAAGTTGTCTGGAACTGCTTTTATATGCATATGATAAGAATGTTGTATTGCTCAAGATTCAGATTCAGAGCCTCTCTTGTTTGGTATTTTAAGGAGGATTCTGATCATAATGGGATGGGAAAACCAGCATCTTGTCACTAGTGTCAAAAGGAACTGCTCAATATATTTATGTGAGAAGTAAAGGGCCAGTGCTTCTCTGCCTTAGTGTTTCAGAAATAAAATTGTCATAGTTCATTTAGCACAAATTCCATCTTAGAAATTAATGGAAAACTAAAAGATAAATAAAATTAAATAATTTGACCTGCAATCTCAGAAGTTAAATGATTATTGGCAGAAGAGGACAATATTCTGTGAAAATTCTCATTCTATTAACGTGCCAATAGCAAAGTTAGCCATTCAGTTGCATGTTGAATCTATGACCTTGCCATCATTCCACAGATAAAACTGCAGCTAATATGTGCTTTTCAAGAAATGTTGCTGCAGAAAACCTGGAGAATTGAAGAAAATACCTGAATAGTGATCCTTTTCTGCTAATTCCATGAAGCAGGAGATGATGGTGCTGAGATCAGTCAGATAGAAAGTAGGTGGAGTTTAGGGAAGAGTTCCCTTAAAAATATTTCAAGCTTGGCTGAAGGAAACAGCAATCTTACGGGATGCTTCTAGATATCTAGACTTCTACAATTGGTTCTGATTGTTATTGTGATCTCAGATCTCTCCAGATAGGTTGCTTCTTGTTTCATTTTTGTGTGTTCCAGTTGGATGATGGTTCCTGGAACCTCGCAAAAGTAGCTTTATATTTGGTCCATCCAATCTTGTTACTTCAAGCAGGTTGAAGTAAATGAGGCCGTTATGCCCTTCCAGTAAGTAGTGTCTTTGTGGCTAGTACTTTTGGTCAACCTTGTACAATTGCTTCATTATTGTGTTCAGATTGAGCATTGTCGTATTTTGGGTAGTTGAATCCAGCTTCCATTCCAGTTTTGGCTTTTCTTTGGCATCTTTTTAAATATGCACATTTATACATTTGAAATGGCATATTTGCATCTTTCCTTCTGCCTCACAGGTGTAAATGCTGTACAGTGTTTGCATGGCACAAACTCTTTTGTGTTTTGGCTTTTTCTTCCACAAGCTTGTGGTCTATGGACCAATTGACAGAGGCCCATGTTTTATAATTGTCCCAACCCCCTGGAGGTGACGCAGTAGTGGAAATTATTTAGCCTCTTGAGAGCAATATATATAGGATGGCATCTTGCACATGGCTGGTGGTGATAAGTAACATCTCAGTTGTAGTTTTCTGTGGTATAAAATTCTATGAGTAACACGCTTGTGCGTGAAGTCCTAATAACGGCTTTTGTGCAATAAAGCAAACCTGAGAAGTTTTGTAGAATACATTGCATCTAAATCTTTTACAATCTACAGGATTTATACAAAATTTGCAATATTTAAGTCTCTGATCTGGCAATGTTTTGCCCAACTACATTAAGACTTATATGCATGCCTTGATAGAAAGCAATTCCTATTCTTGCAGTATTTTGGAGAAAATTGAATTTTTTCCAGAGAAAAAGTCTATTTGTCTCCGAACACTAATGCATTTTTTTTCTCTTTAAATTCTTGCTTCTTACCCATTCCAGTTCTAATGTTTATACTTGACTTTTTCTTTCCATTAGAACACAATCCAGCAAACTCTTTGCTTTGCAGCTTCTTTTAATTTCAACCTGTTTTGACCTGATGATACAGATAGGGGTGGTGTAGTCACTGGGTTTGATGAATTTTGCTTATTAAACCAGCAGAATACGTATGATATAACAGGACCTGAGGTCATCATATCAGTATCAATGGATTTTTTTAAAAAAAACCCTTATCCTTAATTGTTTTATTTAATTGATTCACTAAGTTCATTTGAACTTAGCAGTATGCTGCTCCACCCAATCAAAAACACTCATTATTTCTTATTTATTGGCAAGCAAACATTTTTTGTGTCGGCTACAATGAATCTGCCCACCATTAATTAAACAAGTTCCTATTTTTTTATGCCAAAATGAAATTAATTAGAGAGGGTCAAATATTGTAAAAGAGGATGAAAGTGATAGCATGTCTTTGTCTTTTTTATACAGATATATAATGTTTACATCGTTTTCTTTGCCACAGATCTGGATTTGAAAAAGAACTTTTCCTACAGATTTTTTAAATCCTGATTTTTCTTTTTTAAATAAAAATAATTACACGTGGTAATGGTAAGGGTTAATAATTTCTCCTCTTCCCTTTGTATAATTTTTCCATGAATTCCTTTGGTGCTTCACTTTGGTTCTCGTTGTTTTGTTCAAATCTGCAT